TATATATATATATATATATATATGTGTATATATATATAATTTTTTTCATGAATTAGAAACCATGTGCACAAGTATATTTTTATGAACTTGAAACTTTCTGCACTAATTTTTAAAAGATTTTTCCATTTATTTGACATTGACGCTATAATTACACACAAGTTTTTATTACATAATTGAATTTTGCACAAAAAGTACACAAGCAAATAGCTAAATGCCCCATAACCCAGCTGTTCTCACACTTCCTCTGTTTATGGCTTTCGCTGCTAGTATTCCGCAACACAAGCTACTCCCACGGAGAGAGCACAGGAACATCTGCATCTTGTACATAAAACATCTGGCATGGATGTTTCTGCATTCTGGACAAAAGAAGCACATCCATCTATGGGATTTACGCGGGACCGGGTACTCTCAAGTCGACGCATTCCTCCAAAGTACTGCAGACAGCGGCCTAATCTGTCTGCGGTATGCAGGCTCTGCTATGTCAACACACTGGCATGCCATGGAGAGAAACACCTATGGAACCATTAATCATCTCAGGACAATATCCTCCCTGTTTTTATCAGATGATCTCTGACAAACACAGGCACAAAAAACATTCAACTTCATCCGGACAGACTGACAGACGTTCCATTGCCTCATTATAGCAGGTACAAGCATAATTCATAAAACCGTATGGCCTTAAAGAACTAATACTTGTACACCAACACAGCACTGATTGACAACACTCCAGATTTAGAACTGCGAGTGGAACCCACATAAATCTGTGGACAGATATGTACAGGGAGCAAATTTACCCAGTGTTACATTTCTCTTTCGCAAAAAAAAGTCTGTACACAGTAAATACAGATGTGTTTCCGAAAGCACACCCACAACTGATGAGAATACCACATGCCTCTGGCAAACACACTGCTCTTTTCAGATGCTAAATTGGTCTTCAATATGGATAAACAGCACTTGGACTGTTGGCACATTTCTATAATGCTCTTTTGGCTTGTGCATTAATATATCACAATACTGTCACTGAATAATGTCTGAAAAAGTACAATTAGCAATTATTACAGCTTTAATTCTGGTAATCTCATGGCAGATATTCATATATTCACCATATAATTAACTTAAAAGTGAAGTAAATTGACTATAAATAAAATGAGCTTAAATCAAAGAGGCCAGAATACTGGTGTAAACTCTGAATGGACCTCTCTTTAAGTTTATTAATGGTTCTTTAGTAGTTTGCACTGTGGGGGTTTACTGTTACGTGCGATTCACACTTCCACACCACTGAGCCCACCATCTCTGCACAAAGTTTCCCCTCTCTCTATCGCTCTCTGTTTTTTTCACTTGTCCCTCTTTTTCTGTATTCTTTTCACTGTAATGATTGCCTGTTGCAGGATTCACCACTAAAAATGTATGAACATAGTTCGACAGACAGACAGACGGAAAGAGAGAGAGAGAGAGAGAGAGACAGGCAGACAGGTAGAGAGACAGCCAGATAGACAGAAGTATAGAAAGACACATAGAGAAACAGACAGATAGAAAGAGAGATAGAAGTCTGACAGACAGATATATAGAAAGACAGAGAGACAGACAGACAGATAAAAAGACAGAGACAGACAGACAGATAGAAAGACAGAGAGAAACAGACAGATAGAAAGAGAGAAAGAAAGACTGACAGAATAACAGACAGATCTCTCTGTTTTTTTCACTTGTCCCTCTTTTTCTGTATTCTTTTCACTGTAATGATTGCCTGTTGCAGGATTCACCACTAAAAATGTATGAACATAGTTCGACAGACAGACAGACGGAAAGAGAGAGAGAGAGAGAGAGAGAGAGACAGGCAGACAGGTAGAGAGACAGCCAGATAGACAGAAGTATAGAAAGACACATAGAGAAACAGACAGATAGAAAGAGAGATAGAAGTCTGACAGACAGATATATAGAAAGACAGAGAGACAGACAGACAGATAAAAAGACAGAGACAGACAGACAGATAGAAAGACAGAGAGAAACAGACAGATAGAAAGAGAGAAAGAAAGACTGACAGAATAACAGACAGACGGATTGACAGATAGAAAGACAGAGAGACAGACAGATAAAAAGACATATAGAGACAGACAGATAGACAGATAGACAGATAGATAGATAGATAGATAGATAGATAGATAGATAGATAGATAGATAGGTCTCCTTTCCCTCAAAAATATTCCATTTGCTAAGCTAATTGAGGGGATCAGAAATTCAGATCAAACTTACATTAGATTCCATTCTGTTACGGTTTCCACACACACACACACACGCACACACACACGCTGTTTCATGACTTCCTCTGCCAAGGATTGTATATGCTGTCAGCACACAAATATTGTTCAGATACTCGCTTTACTAGAAGTGCACACAGGTGTTCTGAGTGGGAGTCTGTTTACGTCCACGAATGAAGTGTCAACACAGTCATCATACATCTGTCATAACATGTTGTCTTGGCAATGGATACAGTTAATGTTTGGTTACATCATGTTACGATGACATTATTTTGTGGAACAGCACAACAAGAAAGGGCACTCACATAATCTGTTATCAACACCTGTTGTTTGCCCTAGAGGCAGCTGAATTGTTTTACTTTTATCTATTTATTTATTTTTTAATGTTAATTGGTGTAATTGAGCAGTTACGCAGTTACATTTGGGCTGTTTCCAAGTCAGACCAGAGCGTTTGTGGCTTTGAGGACTTATGAGAATGCTCACTGTTGTGGAATTGAAACCTGAAAAACGTTCAAAATGGAATGAAATGAAAAGAAACAAGGAATGAGAGCCAGTGAGGAGCCACTTACTATCGTTTTCATATTAATTTCATTATCGCTAAGAATCACGAAATGACCTTTTAACTTCTCATTTCAGTGACAACATATTGAAGCAAAGCATCAAGCTTTCCTTCTATAGACAGAATCCAGAAATAAGATGTCACCTTTAGAAACAGATTGGATACTGCTTAAATATGGATGAGCATCACCATGAATGAGTAGCACTGATAAAACTGTGGATGTGGTGCAACTTGTTGGAATCACAGTCAAACGAAAGAGTTTGTAAAACCATAGGGCTAAGGTTTAAAAATGAAAGAGAGAGAACTTATTTCAGGATGTACTGAAAACATGAGGGCAGTTGCTTCACTCACACAACAAATCAATAAACAAGGTACCAGCACGACCAACACAAAGGCTTTTAACAACTTCCAAATGTCTTCCTGTAAAATTACACTGCGGTGGCTTGATTGTATTGCTTCTTTGTGATGGGCTTCATCACAGTTGAGAGCTAAAGGTAATGAACACATACAGAACTGCGTCCTGAAGCAACCTGCAAATTACTTGACAACACTTTGAAAGCAGTGTTGCAATTAGGAATCGATGTACTGCGTTGCTGTGCAGTCTAGTTCGCGCAGAGAATAGTGAGTCCTGCGGATAAGAACAAACTCTGATAAGGAGGAATTTAAATTCTCATTCATCTTTATCTGAATTTCATTTGTGACACTACAGTGGTTTTCGATTTCAGAAGTGGAAGAAGTCAACTCATATCTGAATTTTTAGAGCGTAAAACTGGCTGAGAAGCATTCAGGTTCTCTCAGGAGGAGATCAGGTTTCGACTAAAACGTGTCTCAGGAGGACACATGAATATGAGCTGCGGAAGACCAATACATTTATAAAGTGACATGAAACTTCAAGTGAATCTTCTGAGATGGAAATGCAATTGTTATCATACAATTGCATTTCCAAAAATGTAAACATACAAAGAGTTTAGTGTACTGTAACTTTCTCAGGAATCTCTTCAAAACATTTTCCAGACGTTGTGACATCCCTGTAAAAATGATGAGCATCATCACTCTAATATCATACACTCTAAAAAATGCTGGGTTAAATACAACCCAGTGCTGGGCAAAATAGGGACAAACCCAGCAATTGGGTTGTTTTGACCCAGCGGTTGGGTTACTACCCAGAAGGTTGTGTTAAACATTTAACCCAACCGCTGGGTCAAAACAACCCAATTGCTGGGTTTGTCCCTATTTTGCCCAGCACTGGGTTGTATTTAACCCAGCATTTCTTAGAGTGTACACATCATGTTATGATAGGTTTTACAGATCTTGCCAGGACCAAGTTATAACTTGCTGTACTAAACGATGCATATTAAGAGTGATTTAAATGTATTAAATAAGGATAATATACTATAATACACAACCATCACAACAACATGTTTATAATATGCCGCGTATAGGAAGAATGTAGCCTATACACAATCAACAAAAGTAACAAGAAGAACTATGCTTAAACTCACCTTGTCGCTGGACAAGCATACAGCTGCTGAAAGTGTCAGGATTATCCAAATGTTCCTCATTATTCCTCTTAAGAAGTCTTTTGCAAAGAAACCAGCCGCTCTCTTACAGCTTCACCTAAAACACATACGCAAGGTCCTTTCGAAGAGATATTTGGCGTGTTGCTCCACCTGATCAAACTTCTCTTTTGTCTTTCCAAAAGGGAACTGTTGAGAGAGTCTTGATGTGATGTTAAAGTCTCGGGTCCATGTGAGGCAGCGCAGCTTTGCTCGGACAGACAGAGGATGAGAGAGAGAGAGAGAGAGAGAGAGAGAGAGAGAGAGATGGATGGATGGAAACTGGCATGAACTGGTTGACCTGAAGCTGGATACATGAATGTGTATTAAAGACTACTGCCATGGAGAAGTAGGGCGGGGGAGGATTTTTGCGTCACAGACACAGTTACAATACTTTGTCTCAAAACCTAGTAAACTGTCAAAATGAACATCATTTTTGAACATCAAAATGTTGTCTATGTGTGAAGCTTACTTGGCTTCGAGACAGACTTCAGCCAAATCAGTCCAAGTTAGTAGACGCAGCTGTTTTTTTCTGCTCCAGGAACCAAAAAAACAGTTCCAAACAGGTATGACTAGCTGGTTACTAGTTTGTTGTTGGTCTACCACCTTAGACAAATGGTTCTCAACGTTTTTGACTCCAGGAACCCCTTTGTCCGACTCGAGACAATATACAAGACTTGTCATCTAAGCTTATGTACATCTGGTATCTATCTATCTATCTATCTATCTGCTTTTGTTATAATAAATATAAAAAAAATAAAAAATACATGTCGGTTAGAATTTAAATTAATACAAGTTAAATAATTTTCACATTCACCAACTATAAACTATCTACCACTATTTTACATAGACTATGTAAATCAAAATTCCAATTGCAAACCCATTCAGGCAGAGCTAAAATTGGAATAAAATGTAGTTTATCATAGTTGCTATTGTTTTAGTTATTTTGTAGCAACCGTTGCTATGATAACCTATCAGCCACCACTGCCTTCAACAGAAAAACAAAATGGCAAAGACTTTGAAATCGTTTTGTGTTGTTTGAATGTTATCCCATATTAGTCATGTCCCTACAGTAGTAACACTAACAGTCCTACACTGTAAAAAAATGACCGTGAAATTAACGGTAAAAGACTGTAAAAATGCTACAGTAAAAACCTGTTAAATGGTTAACGGTAAATTCCCCTACTATATACGGTGAAAAACTGTATTGGATATTACATGTATTGGACAAAAATTTTACGGTAGTATACCGTTTTGGAAGTGAAAAATACCTTATAATTTACAGTGAATAACCGTAAATTGACATTCCCAGAATTCCCTGTGTTACATTTCAAATGTGATGTTTTTTTTGTTGAAATAACTGTTTCTTCTTATCGGTTTTGTATATTAGGGTTGTGTGTTACACCTAATGGTGTTAAATGAATGTTTATTGCATTATTTCAGTTTCATGTGTGTTACCGTGATTGTGTTTAGCATTTGTGCGAATGACACTGTGCACCTTCTATATATGTTATTATTTAAAAGCTGCTTGTGATGGGCTTTGGTTCATCATGTGACTTTCTCATCACCACCTGCATTTGGTGGTTATCAGTGTATCACAAAGGTACAAAACAGATTTCAGTACATCATTAGGTTGGTATATTAGCATTATATCAGTTAATGAAATTACGGTATTTAACTGTAAATTTAAGTTAAAACCGTAAAACGTTGCTACCTTAATTTTTACGGTAAAAACGTAAAAAAAATTTTACAGTGTATGTTATTTTAGCTCAAAATATGGTTGATTAGTCATTGTCATTTCTACTTTAAAACACGTTTCATATTTTTTCCTATAGATTTTATTATTTTAGCTAAAACATTTTTCATTTGTAAGATGATGTTCATAATGTTGTCTTCTGGGATATACAACCTATCTGTGCGAATATTCTTGGGGAATAAAAATATTGAGTGGAAGGAACTGTTGTAGTGGGGGTTTATCTCCCCCTGCTGTTCTGTCCTGATATCAGCGAAATACAAACACACTTTACATAATGCATTATACACTTCATTTAAAGAGCACTTTTCATGCAAATAGAGGTTCAAAGTATTTTAATAAAGACTCAAAGTTTGAATAATGTATACACAAGTGCATTAGTACTCAAAAACATCAAATGTTTTATTCTAGATGCCTAAAATAAAGAGCTCACAACAAATTAATGTTTTTAATGTTTTATCAAAGTTATGTATTCATAAACATGTGTTTTAAGGGTAACCAGGGAAACGGAGTTAGTGGCAGATAATTTTGTCTTTACCGTCAATAAAAGGTATCTGATGGATTTCGTTATGTCAATGATATTCACAACAATAAATACAGAGATTATTCCAAGACCTCAAGACAAATATCACATAGCAAAATAAAAACTGTGTCTACATGATACACCTGAATAGATAAAGGTCATTTTAAATTAGACTGAGGTGAGTGGCACATGATACTGAAAAATACAGTATGCATACAAGTCAAGAGATACAGAGGAGGAGGAGCGAAAAAAATATTGAAAAAGCAGCAGTCACACTATCATCTAACCCCAGGTTTAATGTCTGTTGCTTTTAAGGTGCTGATTTGGTTTTTCCTCCAAACAGGAGGAATCTGTGAAAAGACAAAAAAAAGTTACAATCATCACTATAATCAGGGGTGCACATAAGTGGTACGCAGGTGCGCATGCGAGACCAAAAAATAAAAAATAAATAAGTTGTGTAAATAAGTTCTGACAGCGCATTTGTGTACAGACATGGTTGACAGCTGTTACTGCACAATTACCATTTTAGATCGACAAACTAATACTGTATAAGATTTCTATTCAAACTGAATAAATAAATCTAGGCTACCTGCTGCCGTTTTCAAAGCACAATGAAAAACTGTGACATTTCATTCACTGATGCGCTTCAGTCGGCAGCACTAAACCCGGAAGCGCATATACTTACTTGCCGGGCAAACCGTCAAAATAAAAGCCTGTTGATTTTAAGTTTGAAAATGATGAAAATTCATCTTTAAAACAAATAAACTAAATATTAGCATTTTTTAAAAGTTTACTATAAAATAGTTTTATTTGTATTTAATACTCCCTTTTTATAAAAAAATATAATAGTATTATCACGCATTCCCCCGGTTTCACAGACAAGGCTTAAACCCAGTCCCAGACTAAAATGTAAATCTGAGCCGTTTCAACTGAAAGAAACTTGCACTGTTAAAATATATCAGTGTCTTTGTTTTGTCTCAAGATGCACACCAGTAATGTTTTTTCTAAGGCATGTTAATAAAAATTACTTAAACGTCCTAATTGAACTATGGCCTAATCCTGGTTTAAGCCCTATTCGCACGGGATTAGTATTACCTGGTCACCTCCAGTCATTTGTAATAATTGTGGAGGTTGTCTGTGATCTTAATCCCGTGCGAATCGGACATGTCTGTAATTTCTAAAGTAAAAATTCCCCCGGCAAATGACCTACCATATTTCGCCGAACACCGAGGTCCTGTGCTAATATTAGTGCGAATCGGCATCTCTGTGATTCGGCCAGCATTTGGCGGGTCGCATATAATTTTTCGAGGTTTTTGTTTGCTGTGCGCCTTTTTATCCATCTTTCACGAAGAATGGAGCTGCGAGTGTTTGATAGTATTTTGGGTGCTGTCATCATATCGCTATACCATACAATTTGCAGAAAGAGAAAGCTGAAAAGGTTTTGAGGTTAATGTGTTACAAATATATCAAGCATAAAGCTTGAGATATTATTTTAGCCAGGTGAAATGTAAATGACACAGCGCACGAAACTATATTAGTTTCTTTTTTTTAAATCCATCTGGACCATAAAATGGGACTCTCAAAGCCTTGACATCCGGGTTATCCAGGAGACAAGTCAGTAAATTTGAGTAAAATCACAGGCTTTGCTTATCCCGTGCGAATGCACCACAAGAAATTCAGATGTGGGGGGGGGG